CCCCCACCACCAGTACTCACACAACGCACATGCATAGAAATAAAACAAACAGTTTGATTTTAGAAGAGTAGTTATTGTTAGTGAGATACAAATGAGAAGCGTACAGTTACATGTTAGCACAGAGAAAGCGTCCCGCCCCGAGCCGCCGCGCGCGCTCCACTCACCGCCCGCCTCCGCCTCCACCTCCGCCTCCGTCTCCACCTCCGCCTCCGCCTCCGCCTCCGCCGCCTGCTGCAGGCGCCGCCACAGGTCCCGCAGGCGCAACACGCGCTCGCGCACCTCGCCCGCCACGCCCTGCCCCGCCGCCGCGCACTCGCGCTCCAAGTTCTTGAAGTTCTCCAGCAGCTCCGTCACCTCCGCCTCCCGCTCGCGCACCTCCCGCTGTCTGCGCGCCGTCCCCGCCCCCGCCTCCACCTCCACCTCTGCCTCCGCCCAGCGCAGCGCCGCCTCCAGCCGCGCCCTCAGCCTCGCCAGCGCGCCCAGCCGGCCGCACACGTACTGCCGATGCGCACCCAGCTGCCGCCGCGCCTGCACACCCTCGCCCTCGCCCTCGCTGTACTGTCTGCTTACACTCTCTCCTCATTCACACCCTCATCTCAACATTTAACACACTACAATAATATTCCTTATTTTGTTTTTGGCTGCTTGCTGAATATTCATGAAAATATAACAATACTGTGAATCTTCAAATCCGCCTTCGGGTGATTGAAAGTTCGGTTTGCTAATAAATAAAAGAAAATGTCGTACAGGAGTGTCAGTTACCTGAGCGAGGTCCGCGGCGAGGTGCGGCGCGGCGCCCCGCTCCGCCGCCAGCTCGGCCAGCTCCCCCAGCTCCGCCTCGCGAGCCTGACACACACAATGTACAGTGTAGCTCTGTAGCCCGGCCGGACTGTGGTGGAAGCTCACACAAAATAATACTCACCGGAAATATGGACAATCGAGATACAGTAGCGACAGTAGTAGTATTTTTAAAAATGTATAACATTTTTTCTATAAACAAAATATAAAATCTTTCAAAAGTATGTATGTTTCCGTTCTATCGGCCCATGCGGTATACATCATCATAACATCTCACGGCAAAAGCACACGCGCAACCTCTATTTCATTTTAAAATGAATGCAGCAAGTTAGGATGCCGGTGCTGATCTGTGTCGTGTGTCAGAGAACAGGAGACGCCTGCATTCTTTCATTACGAGACAAGTTTTCACTCAACAGTTCAACCGTATGTGAGAGCGAGTGCATGAAATGCATCATAAAAATCACTTTCGGCTTTTCCCTTCTTTCTCTTACAACTCGCTAAAACTAATTTTGTACATTGTCGCATTACAAAATATTGACGAGCGAAAAAAATTTTTTTTAAATAAAAAATACATCAAAAACTCTAGACGTGACGGAAAAAAATCCGACAAAGGCAACTGTACCTTGACGAGGCTGAGCCTGATGGAGAGACTGGTGTGGTCGGAGGGGTTGGCGCTGGTGGTCAGCAGCAGCTCGCGCACCCGCTGCAGCCGCTCCGCCGCCGGCCCCGCCTCCCTGCAGACAAACCTCTCGATGTCCACTCACAGAACTTTGCGACATTAACAAATTGCAGCACTCGTCTGCGCGTACCTGTTCGCGGAGGGCGGGAGTGCGGGCGCGTGCGACAGGCGCCGCTCGAGCGCGTCCAGCTGCGCGAGCACGTCGTCCGCCAGCCGGCCGCCGCACGCCGCCAGCACGCCGCGTGCAGCTGCGCGCGCGCTCTCCGCGTGCTGCCGGGCCGCCGACACGTGCTCCTCGCGGCGGTCGGGCGCGGCGAGCTCGGCGTCGTCCAGCCGGCGTCCGGCCGCCTCCAGCGCCGCGTACAGCGCCGCCCACTCGCCGTGACAGCGCACCCACCTGCACCGGACGCATCATTACACACGACGGCTCTAGTGCACACGTGTCGCAATATACAGCTGGAAGTTTATAACCGCTGGTAGCGCTCCTCGTAGGCGTGCTGCAGCGCCGCCCACTGGTCCCGCAGCCGCGCGCACGCCTCCGCCGCGCACCCCAACCGCCGGTCCTCCTGCTCTATGTCCTCCACCCTGCCCTGCAGCTCCGCCATCGATGACTTTATTTTCTACGAAATTAACAAAACTATATGAGTTCACTCGTCGCCTCCGATGCCGGCACGTGCCTCTGAATACAATTTGCCGCTGCGCCCGCGGGCGTACACCACAAGCGCGCCGGTCTGTCTTAAACAGAATAGTTCATTACGATCAAGGCGTCTTCTTGCATCGGAAAGTAGTCGTAGTCGAGCGAGGCGAGCGGGGGCGCCCGCAGCCCGCCCGGCGCCGTCCCCGCCAGCGCCGCCACCGCCTCCAGCGCGCTCTCCGCCCGCCGCGCCAGCTCGCCCGCTACCTCATCCTCCGCCTCCACCTCCACCTCCACCTCCGCTCCATCTTCCGCCAACGCATCCACCTCCGCCTGCCACCCGGTCATGTCTCGTTATCATGTGTAATATTTACAAAACTCTGGTGCAAGCTCAAAGACATCGTAAGAGAATATCGGACCTGAACATCGGCGTGATCGTGGCGCCCCGCCGCGCGCTCCGCCGCCGCCGCCGTCTCCAGCGCCGCGCGCTCCGGGAACGTCACGCGCTGCACCCGCAGCTCCCCGCACAGCACCCGCACGCGCGCCGCCTCCGCGCTCGTCTGCCGCGCCCACCGCACCCGCCACGCCGAGCCCTGCGCACGCGCGACCTCCTCAGTGTCTCGCCACCCTCCGCACTGCTGTGCGTGCTGTGACCACGTACCTCCGCATCCTCGGGGGGCGGGCGCGCCTCGAGGTCGCGCAGGCCCCGCCGCAGCCGGTCCACCAGCGAGGCCAGCCGCCGCACGCCCTCCTCGGCCCGCAGCGCGGCGCCGCGCTCCGCCTCGATCTCCGTCATCACGGTGGACCACTTGCCGCGCAGCTCGTCCTGGTAGCGCGCGCGCAGGAACTCGGCCAGCGCGGGGTCCTCCCGGTGCTTGGCGTACACCAGGCTGTCCCCGCGCGAGATGAGCTCCGCCGCGTCCGGCGCCACGCCCGCCAGCTGGTTCTTCAGCATCTGCAGAGCGAGACGTCGCCGATATAAGGTGCGCACGTTTCGGTCGCGAATAAAGGGTTAACATAAAATGTATAAATGTGAGCGACCTCTCGGCGCTTGGCGGGGTCGCGCTCGCTGGGCACGGCGCGCACTGTGACCAGCACCACGTGCAGCCGGCGCGCCATGCCGGCCGCCGCACTCGCGAACTGCACCAGCGCGGGGTCCTCGTCGCACGCCGCCGGGAACCGCGCGCGCAGCTCCGCCTCGCCCGCCGGCGACTCCTCCCCCGCATCCACCCCCACCCCCACCCCCATCTCCTGATCCTTCAATTTACAGTTACGTCAAAATTTTAATTAGTTTTTGGTATAATTTAACGAATGCTATTAGTTACAAGGATTATGGAAAAATTGCTCACTTGTTCAAATTCATCAGTCTTCTGATACTTCTCATTGGTCACGACCTTAGGCTTGTCTTTCCAGTTCGGAGAGTAAGAATTATTGAAAGAAATGGGGCTGGCCGGTGGCGAGATGCTGGAGGATAGAGGGGCGGGGCGAACGGCGCGGGGGGCGGGCTTGCGCGCCACGCCCACTACCTGCGCCTGCGCCTGTCGCGACTCCTCGCTTTTGATCGGGGTCGACGTCGAAAGCGGCTCCTTATCTTCGAACTCCGACGATGACGCGACCCGCGCCTAGAAGGTCATCACCGTAACATAAGTATTTCATTTCTACTTTGTTGCCAACCGATGGTTTAATGTCGCAGCTGCAATTCTTTCCTCCGGGGTCCGGACATCAATCGAACCGCGAAAGTTTTCTGCTTTTTTAAGAAAAAACAATGGATAACTGTTAAATAGTCTCTTACTTAAAGTAAAACTACAGCGATATCTAGCGAGTGCTCGCAGTCGCCGGCCATGGAGTTTACGTCCTGCAGTGCTATTCGTGATCGCATCGCCGCTGCGACCTTCTGCTCTAAAATAATAGTTACCTGCGGCGCGACCTGCACCTCCGAGTAGATGGCCTCGCCCGCCCCGCCTGCCGCCCCGCCCGCCGCCCCGCTCGACACAACAACCTCACATTTATCATTAGCGAACGTTTCCTCTGTAGCGGAGGGCTCGGGCAAGGCGGCCAGAATCAGATACTCGTTGACTTCGTCCCGCCTCAAGGTTATGCGTGCTACCGGATGGGTCGCGGGGAGGGCGGCTCCGGGAGGGTCCGCATCGCACGAAGGCGGAGGTGGCAGAGTTTTCACCGACGCATCCGCCTCGCTTTTAGTTTCAATGGTCGATATTAAATCCGGTACATTCATGGTGACTTTCGGCCTGGGATTTTCTTCTTCGCCGGTTCGACGTTTTAAAATACCGAAGGTCGGTTTCATTCGTTCTTCGAATTTCTTCACTTCGACGACGAAAGTCTCCGACTGTGACGGAGAGGGTGGCGGAGAGGGCGGCGGACTCTCCACTCTCTTGTCCTCGCCGTCCGAATCGCAAATCGACTCGCCCTCGGTGTCGTCGATGATTTCGACCCTTTCGACGGTTTGCGGAATGAATTCCACGACAGTTTCGATGGCCTCGGAAGGATAGATTTCTTTAAGTTCGACCGGGCTCACCGTCGACTTCACGATCTCGCTCTCCCTGACTTCGACCACGCAGTAGGGGTCCGGGGAGCGCTCGTTCCGTGCCCTCGGTTCCACTTGGACCACCGCTTCCTCGTTGCATATTTGCGTAAAGAGATCGCTGTCTTTCAGAAGATTGAATGTGCTACTGTTCTTTTTAGTAGTCTCCGGCGTGAAGGGCTCGGCGGGTTCGGCGCGGAGGGCGCGAGGGCCAGCCTCCACGGAGTCGGCCGACATCGAGCTGGCGTCCGACATGGGACTATCCTCTTTTTGCTTTCGTCTTTCAAGGGAGGAACCTCTACTCCTGATACCACCTTCTTTAACCTCTTTTTTTATGGGCACGGGACTTTTGAGAGCCAAGGGTATTCTGGATCTCTTGAGGTCGGGCCTCTCGGCACTCTCGTAGTGGGCGCCGTCGCGGGGCACGCGCTGCGCCTCTAGCGCCTGCAACCACAAACAGGTCACGCGACACGTCTTACATCTCCCTAGCGACGACGCTCGAGTTATGCAAGGGTTAGTCCGGCCCGGTGAGAGATGTGGTTATGCGTGATCCCGGCCGAGCAGCCGGCGAAGCTTCGAGTGCCGCTAATGAGATGATTGCGATGCGATGAGACAGAAAGCACCGGGTGAGCCGCGCCGTAGAGTTAGCACCGCCACCGCCCTACAGCTCCCGCCCCGCGGCACCGCCCTGCGGCACCGCCCCTCGGCACCGCCCTGCGGCACCGCCCCCCGGCACCGCCCCGCGGCACCGCCCCGCAAGGTGGGGCCCGGGAATGTGCGCTTTCTCACTTGACTCCCGCTACACGCTCTCTCGTTTTCGAGCGACTCGCGAAAACACCAAATACGAAAAACAAACCACCTTAATGAATTCTCCGCAGCGCGCAACTACGTGTAAAGTGTATTAACAGTGCTTCAAACGGCTAAAGCAAAAACAAACAAAACAAGAATGGCTATCGTGCGGAATGCGTATGAACGGAAAGCGTCCGGCCCGGCCTGGCCCGGCCGGGGCGAGCGGCGCGCGCCTCTAACTATACTTTTAACTTTCAATAGTTACATAAGTTACTTCTAATTTTTTCTTCCTTTATATTACAAAATACAAATATGATAAATTTTAGTCATTACTTCATCTGAGTTTTGCGAAACGGAAGTGTGTACTCACGACGAGCCTCTCGAGCGTGGCCTCCCACAGGCGCGTCAGCTGCGGGTCCCGCGCCGCGCCCACCTGCGGCCCCCGCGCCCGCAGCTCCGCCCGCAGCCCCCGCAGCCGCGCGCGCTCCACCTCCCCGCCACCCCCACCGCACCCCGCCTCCAGCTGCGCCTGCGCCTCCCGCACCAGCCGCCGCACCTCCTCCGCACCACACCCCGCCTCGCGCAGCCGCTCCCAGCGCGCGTTCACGTCGTCGATCTGGTGGGCGAGGGTGTCGAGGTAGGCGCGGTCGCAGCAGCGGGCGAACTCGGCGTAGTTGGCGTTGAGCTTGTCGCGGAGGCCCTGCATGCGCGACATCTCCAGCTCGAGCGCCTGGCGCGCGGCGGGCGGGTGCGCGCCCAGCCCGTCCAGCCAGCTCCCCAGCGCCTGCAGGTCGGTCTGGATCTCGCGCGCCGTCAGCAGCGCGGTCTCCAGCCGGCTCTTGGCCTCGGTCACCTGCGCGCCCAGCCTGTTGTACAGCTCTTTCAGCCCGTCGATCTTCCCGGAGAACTCGTGCGGCTCCGGCACCGCGCGCTCCTCCACCGCCTTGCGGCCCGCCTTGATGATCGCCTCCACCTCGCCCTTGATCTCGCTCAGCGTGCGGTACGACTTCTGCAACCACACCACTGGCATTCAGCACGCGCTCGCGCAGCGCACGTCGCGGCGGCGGCGGCGGTACTCACGAGGCAGCGGCGCAGCTGCACGCGCACGGCGTCGGGGTCGGGCGGCGCGGGCGCGGCGGGCGGCAGGGC